CCAGCTCCCAGGCGGTGGGCCCTTGCTGGGACCTGCCCGGCCTCCCGGCAGAGGTACCGCTTGCCCTGGAAACTCACCTCGGTGGCTGCTGCTGGCACAGGTGCCGGCCAAGGTGTGGGGCTTCGGAGAGTGGCGCGGCGGGCGATGGCCCAGCGCCTGGCAGTCACCACAGAGACACAGGCGAAGAATACCCAGCCCTTCCTGGCCCTGGGCACAGTGGGCCCGGCTTCCCGGGCCATGGCGGTCCGGGAGCCAGGCAGGGGGTGGGCTCCCAGGGAGGCCCTCTGCCAATCTGCCCGTCCGTGTGCCTGCCTGCCCCGATGGAGTCGAGCACCCGAGTGCCTAGGCCTTGTGTCATCGGTGTGGCACTCTCATACCTGCTCCCATGATGGGCAGGGCCAGGAATCCCCACTGGTACCAGGCCATAGGCCAGCCAAGGCCAGGTGGACGGGGCTCTGTCCTGAGCCGGGCCAGCAGCCCCAGCTCAAACCGGCTCCTCTTGGGGTGGGCCCCGTTGTCTCCTCCAGTACCCCAAGGCCCCATCCCCATTCCCTCTGCCTGCAGGGAAATCATCACCCGGAGCGGGAAAAGTGGCAGGTACAAGTCATGGAGATCAAAACAGGGCTCAGCCAGTGGGGCCACCGGGCAGGTGTGAGCCCAGCTAGGTGCTGTCAGGGGAGCACAGGAGGTCCCCGCTTACGCCAAGCTATCGCTTCATTCCAGAAGATTTCCCTGCACTCTCCCCTCGAGCTCCTCTGCCCTTGCACCCAGGCACAAGACCTCATTTTAAACTGTAAGGACCAACTGAGGGTTGCCAACGGCTTATTCTGCCAAGTACGGTAGTAAAAAACCCCAAAACCAAACATCATTACCATTACTCCAGAAAAGACGCCACCAAAAGTTAACTAGGACATACCATCAGAAATGCCATTCATTTAGCAGTGGTTAAATGGAGGCACTTGGCTTTAAGTAAAGCTCACAACCTTGTGCCCATTTTTCTCATTTCGCTGCAAACCAGCCATTGGAAACGACAGATCGAGTCCAATCCACCCATTTGACAAAAGCAAAAACCGAGGCCCAGGGGGAGCAGGGACTTGCCCGAGACCTCACAGGGCAAATCCAGGACTTGCATCTGTCCGCAGCCCTGCAGAGCCCACAGACGCTCCTTCCACCAAACCCAGAGGTCCCAGAAAAAGAGAGGCCGAGGGGCCGGGTGGCTTCCTTACCCTGCTGGGGCCCTGGCCTGGTGGACGTCCTGCCCCCGGCTGCCAGGGGGCCGTGGGGGCTGGGAGCAAGGAGGGCGGCGCAGGGGCTCTGGAGCCGGCCTGCAGGCACATCAGGTCCCCTGGCTGCGGCGGTGGGGGCTGGGGCCCAGCATGCCGCCCGGGCACGGAGCCCCACCAGCACTCACTCTGCCTCTCGGAGTTTCACATCCTCTTCCGGTGGCTTTGTGGGGTGCAAGGGACCCAGCGAAGCAGGCTGCTCTGAGCCTGACCTGGTTCCTGTCCCCGCCCAGCCAGCCCTGCCTCCCTGTGGGGCCTGCAGGTTCCTCTTCCCTCTGAGCCTCAGTCTCCTGACCTGTTATGGATGTGGGGGTGGGTGGGAGAGACTTGGAGGTTTTCAAACACAAACTCTTCCCAACCCCTGGCTTCACTGCCTCTCTTGACCTGGAATTCTCATCACTGGGCTCCAGAGGACACTTCTTTTAGGGAAGAAAGAATCTCTGTGAACACAAGTTAGGAATCCCCAGGGATGTGGGCATCCCGGGGTGGGGGGCTGGGTGGGCATCAGAGAAACTGAGCTGGAGGTGCCAGGTGGAGCATGGCCCCCCATGCCACCCTTGTGCCTACAGCCAGAGACAGGCTCCCCCGCACCCAAATCCCTCCAACAGCTTCCGTCCCGCCCACAGGAGAATCCCAATCCTCCCTGCCACCAGCCGCCGGGCACCTCCCTGTGCTCCCCTCTACACAGGCAGTCCCTCCTCCTCCTCCTCCTCAGCCACCATGGCCTCCTGCACACGGTGATGCTTAAATTAACCCTGACCTTTGAGAAACAGCAGAGGCAACTGGGCTCTGAATCAGCCCGCCCTGAGGCCCTGGGCCACTGACTTAGCATTACTTGCATTACTTACTGACTCAGTTTCCTCATCTGTAAAATTGGCACCAGGGTGCCTGGGAATTCGGCAAGAGCTCAGCAGGGGCCTGGCTGGTGGCCGGCACCCAGGGGATGTGCATTCCGATCATTCCCCCAGGCACAAGCCTGCTCCAGCGCCTGGCACGTAATAAACACTCAACGGATGTTGGCAGGTACTGTTGCCTGGCTCCATCTCCACGAGCAAGCTCCAGATGGCAATCTGGGGCCGGTCTAGTGCTAGCATGGGCCCCGGAACTGGATCCCAGTGGCTAACTCAGAAATGTTCGCTGTCTACGAGCAGAGGCCAGGGTGCAGCAAGGCAGGAGAGCTCCAAGGGGGGAGGCAGCCCTGGGTCACGGAGGCTGTTCGCAAAACCTTGGCCGCTTAGCCCGGTGCAGCCAGCTGCCTGGCTGTGGGACCTCGGGCACGGCTCGATGCAGCCTGCCTGCCCTCCGTGTGTACCGGCGGGTGCGCTCTCCCAAGCCCCTGGGGGCACTAGATGACACGAGGGGGTGGGAGGGCCTTTCCTGAGGCTTGGCCTCCTCATCTCAAGGTGGGGCCCCGACCCCAGTGCTGTGCAAGGGGTCCGTAGATGGGAGAGCGCTTCCAATTGGGTGAATGTGTTTGGGGGTTGGGGAGAGCTTCAAGAGGTCACTGGAGGAAGCATGTGTCCGGGGGTGGGAACCAACAGGGAACCAGGCTGCCCCTTAGGTGTATCTGTGTGTTAATGCCTCTGATTCCATAAGCATTTAAGGAGCGCTTCCCAGGGACCAGGCCCCTTGCAAGGAACCATGTCTCTTTCCATAGCTCGTGAGTGTCGAACAAGGCTGTCGGTGCTCTTGTCCAGAGGGCCCCCCGCCGCCCGCGTCCACACCTGTTACCCCGCCCTCCCCCCACCCCAGCCTTCAAACACAGGTCAGCCTGGCCTCAGGACCCGGTCTTGAGCTATTCCTCTGGGAGCCTGGCCGCCAGGGCAGGGCTCACCGGGAAGGCCCAGGCGGCGGCTGCCAGAGACCAGCTGTCTGGCAAGAAGAGGCAAGAGGCAGGAAGAGCAAGCGGGAGCCTTGAGGAGGCGGGGCAAGGGCGGGGCGGGGCAGGGGCGGGGCGGGGCGGGGCGTGTCCACCCCTCCTCCCAGCCGAGAGTGGGAGAGCAGAGGCGCCTTTGTTCCCTGCCAGTCTGGTGTCACCACATGGTGCACCGCATCACTGTCACCGCCTGGAACCAAAGACCAGCCACGGAGCACCAGGGCTCTGGGGGGCTGGGGACAGTCAGAGGCATTCCACCTGCACTCCCAAGGCGCTGCCACCTTCTGGGGCTGGGCCCGCCGAGGACCGGAGCGCACACAAGCTTTTCCTGCACACCCACTGTGCATCGGGGAACGCTGGCCCCATCCTGAGACGCTTGTCCCAGGACCCGAGGTCTTGGGACCTGCCCACAGTCCTATGCCCTGCCCACTGTACCAGATGGCCCTAGGATAATGCACCTGGGCAGCCACACACAAGCCCAGACATAGCAAAACCCCACTCCTGAACCCGCATGCGTGCACAGACGCGCCACCGCTCCTCACCACAGAGACCCAAGCCCTTTGGCAGGGGACACCTTCCTGGGTGGGCCTGCTGCGTTCCACATCTGGGGGGGTTCCTCTCACCCTCTGCGGGCTCCTGGGGGCAGGCCCTGGTGGGTGCAAAACACACTGTTTATAAACACTAGTGGCTGTCGCTAGGAGCTGTGACTCAGAGCCAGAGTGGTGACTCCTCTCGGAGCTGTTTACCCGGCACAACATCCTGTCCAGGAAGCAGATAGGAGAGGCCTGGCTGGCTTTGGCTCCTCTTTCCTGCAGCCCCCTGACCTGACTCGGGGTCCCGCTGGGGGCGTGGGACAGCCCAGCGCCCCTCCCCCTCCTCTCTGGGGACCTGCGGCCCCTCATTCCAAAGCCACTGCCAGCTGGGCTCTGCTAGGTCAGGTGACACTGCAGCCTAGCATGTGAGAGACCAGCCCTTGGAGCTGGGAAAAGGGCTTAGAACTGGGGTGCATGTACTTCAGCTGTGAGAGAGGCCCAGGACCCAGGGCCCTGCAAACACCTGCCCCCTGCTGCCCAAGGCAAAGGCTAGCCCACACTTAGAAGCCTTGGAGGCACAAGCGGCTCCTGACGCCCCCTTGGCCCCCAGAGCTCAGCCTGGCCCTGCCTTTGGTGCTCCTCAAGGGGGCCAAATCACTCTTCCACACAGCATCTGTCAAACAGATGCAGCCCCGCTGATCATCTCTGTTGTAAAGCTGAGGAGATCAAGGCCCAGAGAGGGCAAACCGCTTCCCCAAGGATGCACAGGGGGTCAGTTCCAAGGCCAGGGGAACACCTTGGCCTGTCTGGCCCCAAGGCAGCTCAATTTCCTCCACCCTGGGCAGGGTTAAAGATCACATGCGCATTTGTGCCTGGCAGCACAGGCAGGCTTGGGACTGCCGGCTGTCAGCAGGGTGGGCGATCTGCCGCCTGTATGTGGCCCAGCTTGGGATTCTGACTTCGATTTCCCCCATCACTCTGCCCCCCTGCAACCCAGTGTCTAAGCTGGAGTCAATGACCTCCCCTCCCCCCAATATTTCTCCCATTCACTGATGTGCCTGCGTGGATATAATTTAAGTGTCACGATGTGAGAGGCAGGTGTGCAGGTGAGCTCGGGGACAGGAGCCTGGAGACCTATCAAACTCACCCAAAGTCACACAGCAGTCTGGCTTGGAGGCCGGTGCGGTCAGCTGCTCCCAGCTCTTTATAAGAAGGGCTGAGCGTGATTCTATCCTTCCGGTGCCCTTCTGTGGGCCGAGCACCCCTGCTTTATAGAAGGGCTGAGAGGGGCCAGAGGAAGGCCCTTTCCCCTGCTCCAGGCTGGGGAGACCTGGGGAACCCCTGGAATGAATGGTACAGCCACAAGGAACACCAGCCAGGGAGAAAGGCAAGGAGGGGCTAGGTATTTCGGCAGCTGAGGCTCGGCCCCGCTCCAGGCCGAACAGTAACCCAGCGGTAGGTCAGTGGGTTGCTCCAGCTGCTGATTCACCCACTGCCCACCTGCCAGCCCTTTTTACCAGCCCACTGAGTCACACAGGTTGCCAAGAGGCTGAGAATCCGAGAATCGAGGCCCCGCCCCAGCTGCTCCTGCTGGCTCCGTGCCTGGCAGGATCCGGCACTGCCAAGGGCACCGCCAGCCCCCCTCCTATGGCTGCCGAGGACAGCTTCCTGCCCCTTTGGGCCTGCCCCCATGCCCGTCTCGACAATGAGCCCAACGTCTAACTTTAAGGATTAGGGCAGCAGCTACGAGCTGGGGCTCTGGGTAGACAGAGTCCAGGTTCAAACCCCCAGCCTGCTACTTGCTGACCCTCGTCCTGGCCTACATATGGGGATGACCTCCACCTCCAAAAGCTTGAAATATTGGATGGAAACACTGAGGATAGGGCCTGACTAGGACACTCCAAGTCAGGGACAACTGGTACTTCAGAAAATGCAATCGAAAATCCTCCCAGCAAATTCAAACTGCCATAAAAGTCTCTGAAAAATTTCAATTTATCCCATGTCCCTGAGGACCAGCAATAATCTGTAGCATTCAGCCCACATGGATTGACTGAGCCCCTGCTAGGTGTCAGGCCGGGTGCAGGTACCAGCGATACACCAGGGAACAAAAGAGGGACCAATCACCTTCTGGTCTAGGGGCGTAAGAAGTAAAATGCGTGTTGGAAGGTGAGTATGCTGTAGAAGAAAAAAACAGAATAGGGTAAGAGGGGCTGAGCATGCCGTGTCCTTTGAGGGACGAGGATGGGTGAGCGAGAAGGTAGGGGGAGGAAGACATGTGGGGGAGGACTCCAGAAGGGGATTAAGAAAACAATTCACAGACTGTGGGGTAGCCTCATACCCGCCCCCCACTGGCCTCTAAGCTCCCTGGGGGCAGCATCTGTCCTGCTCACCCCTCATACCCAAGTGCCAGAATGATGCCTGGCCCATGACGCATTCCCATACCTGCAAACGGGTAGGCGGGTGACTCCACCACTCATGTATGCACACATTACCATCGCAGGAGTGGAAACAGCACTGGGTGCTCTAAGTGTGTTTCCAGTTCTTCCCTCTTTTTAAAAATTGGAAGGGGTGTAAGCTCCTTGAGAGCAGGCAGGGACTCTGTTCCCTGATGTATCGACACCTATAACAGTGCCTGGTACACAGTGGGCTCTCAACAAATACCTAGGATGCACCAGAAAGCTTGATGGTCCAGACAGCTCCTCCAGTTTCAAAGTCTCTAGATTCAAAAATATTCAGAGTTCGGGGCTAAAAAGTTGCCTGCGGGGAGATCACCAGAAAAGCTTCATGGAGGAGGCAGCACGGCTGGAGAGGAGCCTGAGGGATGGCAAGGAGGAAGGGCACAGGAAGGGCATGGCTCTCTTTGCCAACCTGCCATTCGAGTGCTTTCCAGAGAACGAGGCTGGAGGCAAGCCAGGCTTTCTGGGAAACAGGAGCCAGGAGGTTCCCAGAAGCCAGCCTGCCTGCCGTGGGATGTCAGGGTGGGGAGGTGGGCAGGCAGTTCAGCTCTGGTTCAACCTGGGTTTTTTTTCTCCTTCTGAAATTCCGGGCGCAATAATAAGTCGTGGGGGGATGGGTCTCTGCTCATCGGGTAAGTTGAAGTTGCTCTGCTGTGGTCTGGCCTGTGCTAAGGAGCCGGTCCATGAAGCACAGGCAGGGCTGGCTGAGGCGGGGAGGGTGGGGGGAGCTGAGCCCACAGTCAGGCCCCTGTGCCCAGCAGGGCCTGGTCACTTGGGGCTTCAGGGCCGGGGGAGTTGGGACAAATGGGTCCTTGTGGTGAGGAGGCTGCCTGCCGTGCCAGGGACACCGTGTGCCCGGTGCTGCCACCCGCCCACTGCCTGCACGCGGGGGGCCCAGGGCCTGGGAAGCAGGGATCCCCTTTCAGAGGGGGACCTCCTGAGCTGCCCTAGCCTCTGGAAGGGATCTGGGGCTCCAGTTGGCTGCCGGGAGGTCGGGGAGCTGGTGCCTGCTGCCCTCTTTCCCACAGTCTTTAGGCAAGGAAGTTTCCCCAGAGGCGGGGGGGGGGGGGGGGGGGGGGGGGGTGGAGCTGGGGGCAGGGCCTTGGGGCTGAGTGACAGTTTCAGAGCCACAGCCTTTGTCCCCCCTCCTGCCACCCATTGACCCTCTGCCAAGCCACGACTTTGCTCCTTCCTTGGTTTCTCCTCCTTGGCAAGGTCCCTGGGCCTCTCCCGTCTGTTCCCACCTGCTCCTACATGGGAGACGTGGCAAGGGCGGCCAGGCACCAGCGGGATGCCCCTGCCAGGGGCCCTCCAAAGGCAGCGCAGATCTCCATGCCACCATCCGGCACGGTGCTGAGCAAAGCCGCCCCAACCTTGTGAGCTGCGTACACTTATTAGCCCCTTTCACAGCTGAGAAACCTGATCACGGAGAAGTGGACGGGGCAGGAACATGCAGGCCTCCTCACGGTCACGACCTGGGCCCCGCGCTTTGGAAAAGCAAGGCGCAAACACGAGCACACGTATGCACTCTCGAGCCCCACGAGCAAGTCTCCCCTCTCCCCCACCCCGTAATTAGTCATGTGTTTGCACTTGCACCACACGAGTCCCTTCACACACATGTGCACTCAGCCACCGCTGGGCTCGTCACGCACATTGGTGGCACAGGGGGACGCACGTGGCCACAAATCCACTCAAATGTGCGCAGTCACCCAAAGGCACGGTACAGCACCCCCCAAGCCTCAGAGGTATCTCCCACTCCCCGCACATCTGCCTGACAAAAGTGGCCACCCTGTGGCCCCAGACCTGGGAGGATGTGCCCTCAGGGCCCGTCCCGTCTGCTGGCAGGGCTGGCAAGAAGGGAAGAAGGACGGCATGTGTTTTGTGCAAGGATTTCCTGGCCCCCTGTGGCTACGAAGGAAACTCCTTGAAATACTTAAAAATTGCAGTCCTCTGCTGCAGGGGGGGGGCAGGCAGGTGATGCTTCTCCGCACTGGGTGCCGCCTGCCTACCCTTCCACTTGCCTCGCTCTGCAGCCCACAGCTGTCACCTGTCTGGCCGCCCAGGGCCTCAGGCCAGGTGGACTGCCTCACCCTGTTACCTCAACCCTGAGCACCTGGAGGGCCAAAGAGCACCCCCAGGCAACTTCCTGGGCAGTACGCCCTAGAACTCTGGCCTCAGGGAGGAAGGCAATCCAGGTGGAGCTCACCTTCAGATGGGGCCCGGCAATCTACTCAGCTTCTCCAGGCCCCCGTTTCCCCACCTAGAAAAACACGTGGATTCAACTCAGGCCGGGCGCCAGGCGACACCGCCTGTCTTCACAGCTGGTGGGCCACACCACCATCTGCCTTCCTCAGAGGGGAAGAGACATTTCCTGCCACCTGCGGAGGGCTCCCTGCTGGTGACGGCACCAGGGACTTCAGGAATACTTCACACACCTTGACGTCCATGAGTCCACAGGGAAGTTGAGGGAACCACCTGTCTGGGATCCTGTGAGTCCAAGCCTGTGCTCCCACCCAGCCTTCCCAGACTTCTCTCTCCCCCTTGACCTCAAGACAGCCTTGACCTGCATGCTGAGAGCTGTGGACGGCAGCCCAGCCAGGTGCAGTGGGTAGAGCAGGAATCCAGCAGAGAGCAGCAGGGCTTGAACACCCTGCTTCCCCCCCTCCCTGTTTTGACCCACACAGTTATAGGTAGAGGGCCTCCCGGACAAAGGAAGGTCTGCACTCCACAGGATCCCAAAGGAGGGGTACGTTTCTGGACTCAGAACTCAGGGGCCAGGACGACGCCCTCCCCACCGCAGCTCACACACACAGGTCAGGTGGGTACACCTGGAACATCAGGTGGTGTGCAGAGAAGGTTTGGTGTGCCTTCCCTAAGGGAATGCATTCCCGATCCCAACCCAGAAAGGGGGAAGAACCCGGGTGCCCTCCGGCCCCAAGGGGAACCCCGCCCCTCTCAGGCCTGGGAGCTGGGAGGCAGGAGGGGGGATGGGGGGGGGGGGGGACGGGGGGGGGGCAGCCCTCCCGCATCCTAGCTCCCGCCACCGCATCCTAGCTCCTGTGGCCTTGTGGCCCTGCCCCGTCCTCTCCCCGGCTGCCCGCGGGGCTGGGGCTCACCTCGTCCGCCCGCACACTCGGCGGGACCACCAGCATAAACGCGGGCAGAGGCTGCACCCCGCCTGGGGCCGAGGACAGGAGCGCGCCGCCTGCTGTCGCCCGGCGCCCGGCCTGCGGCTCCCCGCCCCCGCTCCGGGCACTGCCGCCGCCACCCGGGCCTGGGCCATTGTCTGCGCCGCCCTTGCCCCGCCCCTCCTCCTGCCGCGCACCAGTGAGGGGCGGCTGGGCAGAGTGGGCAGAGGCGCGGCCCGGGAGCAACGGAGCCGGAGCCGCGGCTCCCAAATCCAACGTGGGTGCCCGGCACAGGGCTGAGGATGCCACGCAAGCCTCCTCCCAAGGCCGGAGGTGGGCACGCCCCCTCCCCTTTTGACAGACGGGGCCTGGGAGGTACAGAGGGTGGGGTGATGGCCCAAGATCACAGAGTGAGTGAATGGTCAAGGTCAGACTAGAATCCTGGCTCCCTGAGGGCACGCTGGGAAGCCCTGAGGTCACCAACAAGACTACCCATCACTGCCCTCCCCAGAGAGAACACCTGAGGGTACCTGCACCTCATACCCTTCCCAGCTCCAAAATCCAACACCCTGCCCAGGGCAGTCTGGACCCCAAAGGCCCTTCTCCTCCATTCCAAGCCAAGGCAAGGGGCTCCGGGGCCTTGCTCCCTCCCTGTGGACACAACCCTGGTCTGTGTGCTCATTGCTGGGGACGGGGTCAGTGCCCACAAACAAAAGGCCCTAACAGAGCCCACATGACTGGATTCCTTCGGTCTCCACATTTTGCTCACAGCTGGAGGAACAGTAAGGCTCAGAGGGGTTTAGCGCCCATTCTAGGACACTCGGTAAGAAGCACTGCACTGGGTTCCCGACACAGGTGTCCATCTCCAAAGCCAATGGCCTTAACCATGAGGCCGCCTGCCTACCCCCCACACCCAGATGGGAAGCAGGCGGAAGCAGGCCAGTGGAGGAGCAAGCATAGAGGCTAGTCTGGTCCTGGCCACCCCAAAGCCCCAGTAGGTGGCATGATTTACAGGGCAGTGTTCATGCACCGAATGGTGCACACACAAGCATAGGGGAAGATGGGGCCACAGATGGGGAAACTGAGGCCAGCGACATGCCAAGGTCAACAGAGCTAGTCAGTCTCAGCTGGCCCGGATCAGAACCAGAGTCCCCTATTCCAGGGGCTCTAACCCTCCCAGCCACACCTTGCCCTGCCACCCTGTCCCCAGGCCCAGGTCACTCGCAGCTGTAGGGGGTACAATGTCCAGGGCCCCAAGCCCAGCTTCCCCTTCCCCTTGGCTGGCACCCGTCCCCTTCTATGGCGCCCTCTGACCCAACATTTTCTGACATCGTGCCACCACCAATTGTCACTCAGGTATCCAGGAAGTAGCTTCTGTTGCTAAGGGGATGGCCTGACACAAGGTGGCTGGCTGGCAGGGTGGAGTAATGAGGAGGGAGGGGCAGACTGGGGTTTCCGTCAGGAAGGATCCAGGGCGGGGGCTGCTGGGTGGGGGGTGGATCAGACCCCCCAGCTAGGGTCTACACGGAGGCCACTGGAAAGCCCCAGCCCTGAGCCTGCCTGCTGGCAAGTATTTTGGGGACCTGTAGTTGCCAAGCAACTGCTCCAGGTTACCATGGGAACTCTCCCTCCTTCTGGGCCTTGTCATTTTTAGGGGGATTCCCTCTCTTTTCCACCTCCTCACTCTGGCTCAGCTGCCCTGGGAGGAGACATCTAGATTCCCCGACCCCCACAGAGACGCACCCAGCAGTGGCCCTAAGTGAAGACTCTGAGGATCAAAACCCCAGAACTCTGAGAAAACGCAGAGCCCAGAGCCCAAGGCCTTCATTAAAACGGGGAGAGGACGAAGGGGCTCATTAACTCTGTTTATGTCTCCACTCCCGCTGTTAACCATCACCTTGGGGCCTGCCCAGCCCTGACATTGGAAGCTCATTGAAATTGCAAGGAACTTGGTGCCAGCCCCTAGGCCCGGCCCCTCCCAGGCATGTCTGCACACAAGGATGTGTCCCCACCAGCCCTGCCATCACAGAGCTGGGGAATCTGTTCACCGTCCAGTGCCTTAGTTTCCCCTTCTGTATCTCAAAATGGCAGTGGTACCCGTGTTGCGGATACAGTGAGACACTGCAGCCCAAGGCCAGGCACAGGGAAGGCGCTACAGCCTGGATGTCCACAGCACCCCACGGAAGTGGGGGAGGGCCTGGGAGTTAATCTGCAGAGCACAGCCCCGAGCGGCCACTGACCCCAGGTCCCCAGCCTCCCAGCCCGATGCCTTCTCCTAGGACCTACTCTCTGTCCTACACCCCCATTCCGGTACTTCTTCACCATGGTCTCATCTTCTCAGATTTGAACCAAGGTGAGCTCTGCACAGAGGCCCTTGGTTAGTTTCCGTTGTGAGAATTAGCGAGTGACCCACTGTCAAGGGCTAGCGGCCTCAGCCTCATGGGACCCGGGAGTGCCCGGGGGCCACAGTGAGAAATGGCCTCACTTCTGGGCACTTTGCTTCATTCCACTGATGCCCCTAGGAGCCTATTCTCCCGTGGGGAGCCTGGGGCCCCTGTTCCTCAGCCCCAGGTGGCCTTCTCGGGTTTGTATGAGGACAGGGCAGAACCCCAGCAGGTGAGCAGTGGGGGAGCTCAGGCAGCACTGCCCCGCCCTGGGCAGGGTCTCTGGGGACAGGGACCCCTCAAGTCTCGACAGCCCACCCATCTAGATGGCTGCCTTCCGTGTGCCCCTCAGACACAGCCGCCCTGCCGGGCAGTAACAGATGACCTGCCAGGAAACCACGGAGGGTAATCCTAGCTGCCCTGGGAGGAGCCCAGGGCTCTTGAAAATGGCTGAGAAGGGCTGGCTCGGCTTGCAGGTGTAGAAGGAAACGCCAACTCCCGACCTGGGGAGGCCTGGTCCTGCTAGGTTCCTGGGCCTCCCATCCACGGAGCCACCGAGTCACTACCATGTGGCCCCACCTTATTGGACTTCCTCTGTGGTGCGTGTCACCCCTGAAATGATGGGGCTCCTGTTGTGTTTACAGTTGGGTGTTGTCTCCTCGCAACTGGAAGGTGAGACCTTTGTCTACCCGCGTGGTTCTCCGAGCTGGGCTGGGGATGCGGCAAGGGGGTCACAGCGCCACCTGCTGTTCCTGACGGCACACCCTCAGACCGCACTCAGGCCACAACCCGGCGCTGGGGGCCTCTGCCCCTGATGGGTGCCGGAGACCTCCCCAGACCCCAACTGCTCCCCCAGCCCTCTGGGCACCTGGGGACCTGGCCTTCGGGGCAAGAAGCACTCCAGTGCTCCTCTTATGGGTTGAACTGTGTCCCCAAAAAGCTAACCCAGCACCTGTGAATAAACCTCACTTGGAAATAGTGTCTTTGCAGATGTCATTAGGTTAAGATGAGGACACACTGCAAGAGGGTGGGCCCTAATCCAATGACTGGAGTCCTTATAAAATGGGGAAAACTGGACACAGACACGCAGAGGAGGCTATGTGAAGACTGAAGCAGAGTTTGGAGCAATGCACCTATGAGTCAAGAAACGCTATGGGTTGCTGGCACCACCAGAAGTTGGAAGAGGTAGGAAGGATCCTCTCCTTGAGCTTCTAGAGAGAGCATGGAACTGCCAACACCTGATTTTGGACTTTTGGCCTTCAGAAGTGACAGAGAATAAATTTCTGTTGTTTTGAGCCACCCAATTTGTGGTACTTTGTTACAGCAGCAAGAAAAACCAAATACACTCACTCCCCCGGGACCAACCCCCACCTCGGTCACCCTGGCCAAGTGCAGCCAAGCCAGTGTTCTAGGCAGAGCCCCAGGAACCTGATGGCGATTCAGGAGGTGACCTAGGGCAGTGAGGACAGAGTGCCTGCGAGCACACAATAGATAGACCTTGATTATCAACCTCATCTTCAGCCTCCCCGAATCAAGCCTGACCACAGGATACTTCCTTCTGGAATATCACTCTGCACCCACCCATTACCCAGATGAATCCTGCCAACACCATGTGAGCGGTCTTGGCGACAGAGCCTGCCCCAGTCGAGCCTGAGCAGAGGCTGCAGCCCCGGCCTCCTGGGGGACCTGGAGGCAGAGGCTCCCCCCTGAGCTGAGCCGGGATTCTGGCACAGGAACTGTGACATGGTCCACAGAAGGCCAGTGTGTCCCACGGCGCAGACAGCTAGTAGTACATCCTTCCAGGCTGGGGTCTGGCCCTGCCCCCCTCCCTCCAGAGCCCTCTCCCCAGCTCTCTCTCAGCTCCTCTCTGGCCCAAGGCTCTCTGCCTCCGGGTCTCTGCAGCTTGGCCCTTCCCCGCAGCACACTGCTAGCAGACGTGTGCAGGCTGGCTGCTACTATCCTTCTGCTCCCAGCATCAGGCTCACCCTGGAGGCCTGTGAGGCCCCAGCCAGGGGCCCCTGCCCGCCCTCCTTCACCCCGCCTCGCCTCCCTGCAGCCCTTGCTCTTCCCTTTCACCTGGATTTGCTTTTGTGCTTTGGTCCATCTCCCCCTCTGGGCTGGGAGCCCCTGCAGGACAGGGACCCGGGGGGACCTTCCAGCCCCGCCGCGCCCAGGCCCAGCACAGCCCCTGCTCAGGGTGAGGGCCAGGGGCCCAGTAGCTGCCCGAGTCCACGAGAGGGTCTCAGAGTCCCCTCCTGCCTCTGAGCAGCTCACATGGGGGACGTGGAAGCTAATGATCAGAGGTGCCTGTTGGGGTG